GCTTCTGCTGCTTTCCTTGCATGAAGCCAAAAGTCTCTCTCTCTCTCTCTCTCCCCCCCTCCCCCCTCCCCCTGAGAACAGATCTGGGGACGGTATCCTGTGATCCCAAATAAAGAATGATTGATCATAGGAAAATGGGGTGGGGAATTTTCGTGCAGACTTTTTTTGGGATTTTCCCAGGGTCTCTGCTGCTTTCTGCAGATTCCCTGGGAAAATGTGAGCAAGCCACCATCAGTCAAAATTCATATTAGTGGTCCGCAGGATTTAAAATTATGAGTTTGATTGGCCCTGAGGTCCAAAAGGTTGGTGACCTCTGCTTTAAAGAATCCTGAGATCAAACAGTAGTATGTGCATTTAATACAATTTTCTAAAAGGAAAAGGAATGACTAGTACCTGTGCAATGCAGGCAAAGGAATGCCCCCATAATTAAAAATGTGTTGTTCAGTCAAAGCAAAGTAAAATTTATTTCTCCAAAATATTCAACCACATAATCTCTCACATACAACTCTATCAGGTTTTAATAAAGAAAACAGAATTTCATTATGAGAAGGAAGAATATGTACATCTCTCAGAAAGTGAAAGTAACTGATCAACAAAAATTAAAGCAAACGGCTTATTTCCATAAGCATATATAACTGGAATTAAAACAGAATATCTACTTTGATACGTCTTTGTCCTAAAGTAAATAATAATTAAGTATAAGCAAATGGAGCTACTATAAGTGGATATACAGGTAGTCCTCCACTTGCAACAGTTCCTTTAGTGCAAATTTAGGTCACTAAAGCGACTTATGACCATATTTCACACTTATGACCTTACCAGCCTCTCCATGATCATGAAATCAATATTCAGACACTTAGCAATTGACTCATATTTATGATAGTCAGAGTCCTGGGATCATGTGATCATCTTTTGCAAAAAAAAACAATGGGAAAACCAGATTCATTTAACAACAATGTTATTAATTTAATGACTGGAATTATTCACTTCACAACTGTGGCAAGAAAGGTCATAAAATGGAGCAAAATTCACTGAACAAATGTCTCACTTAACAACAGAAATTTTGGCTCAATTAAGTCCTTGACTTAAGGACTATCTGTACTGCTTTCTAATTCTATATAATTCTATATCTAATTCTAGTCCTCTATATACCTTCTCCTTTTTCCTAAAACTTTCTTAGAATTAAATTTTAAATTATTCTTTATGCCCCAATAAAGTATTATACACTATCAAGTAATTATACATGCAATATATTTTTCAAATTGTATAATTCTGCCAATTTTATTAACTTCTAATAATTCAGTGTCACTTTTACTAACCAATCAGGACAATTATTAATTTCAAAAAAAAAAAAAACATTTGTCCATTTTTAGTTAGTATTTCTTTACTGAGTATCATGATCAGACTACAACTTTTAAGGAAATTTCTTGTGATGATAAGTCATCAGATATTAGATTTTCTGCATTGGAATTAATGTTGATAGTTACTTCAAGCAGTTTATGTTATGCTTATCAATGTTTTGCTTAAAACACAGGCACAGATATGTATTGTATACAGTCTTTGCATTCCATAAAGCAATTATTTTGTAGCAAAAATCAATCATTTTCTAAGTATTTATCAACGACTGTTGCAAATCTCATTTCCAAAATAATGCTGTTTTTACATTCATATATTGTTACAGATAGTCCTCATAACAATTGGAAGTCCAATTGAACCCAAAATTTCTGTTGCTAAGTGAAACATTTGTTAAATAAATATTGTCCCATTTTACGACTTTTCTTGCTACAGTTAAGTGAATTGCTGTAGTTATTCATTTAGTAACATGGTTGTTAAGTGAATCTGAATAGCCACTGACTTTGCTTGCAAAAGAACACATGACCCAGAATACTGCAACTGTCACATCTGAGTCAAATTGACAATTGGCCAAGTTTTGATCACGACCATGGAGATGCTGCAATAGTTGTTAAGTGTGAAAAATGATCATGTCACTTTTTTCAGGGCTGTTGTAACTTTGAAGTCACTAAGTGAATTGCTGTATGTCAAGGATTAGCTATATTAAGTATAGCTTAAGTATTCCTTGTCAGTATATTGAATCATGCTAGTTGAATATTTAGTTTAGTTTACTTGCTCAGATATGCTTGCTACTTCTATTGTTCCACTGTAATGAAATATTTTAGAGGAATTATCTCTGGTTTCTTTAAATAGTTGAAGTAAAGTGCTGAAATTGATATTAGCTTGTTATGTGACCTTGAAAAAATGAGTTTGAGTGTCCGGCCTTTGTAAACCACTGCTGGGTTGGATTAAGCAATGTGAAATTCATTTCCTTTGATTTTTAAAGAGATTAATACATGAATTTGCTTTGACCATTTTTTTCTGAACATAAGAGGCATCTAACAATGAATTTGCTTTGTTAGAAGCCTCATGTTCAGAAAAAAATGGTTACAATAATTTGGCTGTTGGAGATGTAACTCAGGAGTTGAAACATTAATGAATATGAAGTGGTTTTTCCTATTTTTATAGCATTTTAGGTTAATATGAAGACTTCTGATAACAAGACTCTGGGGGATAATCACTCCACATGAAAGACATTTTTTTTCTTTTTTTCTGGCTATATTCCTACTCTTGGGAATTTATACAGAGATGATTGTGGATTTTCTAGTGATAGTATTGGTTAAATGAATTATAGCACAAGATAGGAAAGAAAAATATCCCCTTGTTCTTTTTTTAATTATAAAAAATAAGAATCTTTTTAGCAACATGGTCAAAGTTCCGACTGTATTTATAACATAGTTTCTATATCATTTTTAAAAAAATTGTTACACTTATCACCTCTGAGGTGGTGTTTCATCTTTTAATACTATTTTATATACTTATGAAATAAAAAAATAAAAGCATTACATAAAATCTGTTCAAAGACAAGGAATATAAAAGCAGAAAACAAGAGCCTTGGAAGATAAAAATTCAAACTCCCATTGAACTGAACTGTCTCGATGGTATTACGCCTGTCACCTCCACTCAGACCTACATAGTATATGGTACTATGAGATTAAAATGAGAAAAGGGAAGAATCCACACAATGAGCAAAATTTCTTCAAGAACTGTAATAGGATAAATAAAGCTCTGCATGGCTTTGACCTAGCTTCCTTTTGCAGTAATAACATTGATATAAACAGAGAGAAAAAATCCTTTCAATGTGTTTCCAGGCTGCTGAGCTCTTTCTAACCTCACACAATTGGTAATCCACTTTTGTGTGCGTGTGTCAGAGTTCTTGTCAGCCATAGGCTGCAGAAGGAACAAGCCACAATCCCCACCTCCTTCTGCTGCCATCCTGTCAAAACAAAGGCTCTGTTGCCAAGATTTGGCAGAAGGAAGTGGGTGAACAGGAGGAGCTATAACTGCTTGTCTCCAATCCAAGTATCTCTTTTACTCTCCTCCTCTCACATTTACTGGCACTACACTACTCAATAGGGAGTGCTGGAATGGCTTTCTTGCAAACCTCCCCTAATGAAAAAAAAGGGAAAAAAATCAGGAAGCAGAATTGTTTATCTCTTAACAAATATACAGTGAGTGTTTAAAGCAGACTTTGGTTTTGTGCCTAATATTATGTTTACAAGAGGAGCAATTGAAACAGCATTTTACCAAGGAAAAATAACACAATAAAAACCAAAACTGGCATAGCCTATTGGGGTTGAGTTTTCTTGACTCTCTGTGTTAGTTTGCACTGATGTTCTGCTTAGTTTCAGCAATGTGTGACTGCTTCCAAAATAGTTTATTTTCTTAGTACTGCAAAGAACAGGAAGCAGAACTGTACAAACATTCCCTCTTAATGCACACATACATCTGTGTTCTCCTTGTTAAAAACACTTCTTCCAAAATATCACTAGGAATATGCAGTAAAAGATGGACCTTAAAAAAAATCAGATTGATGATGGGATTGTAAACTAGTAGATACAAAGAGGAAAAACAACTGTGATAGAAATCAGTAGTGTTAAAAATATAGAGTGGAGCAGGTAACCTACTCCCTAGCTTGATGCCATCCAGATTTGTAGAGATGCAATTTCCTTTATTCTCAGGACCGCTGTGATTGTAATTATCAGAACTCATTTGAAGGACACCAGGTTGGAGAAACTTATTCAAGAGCAGCAGAACAGAAATGAGTCACATGGAACAATGACAAAAGATTCAAGTGAAGAAACTGAGCTAAGCTTTGCAGAGACAAAAAGCAAAACAAAGCCAGAGAAAGGTAAACTGAAAAATACTGCTGTGCAGAGATTAGAGAGAGGTAACCAAAGGTGTCACCACTGAGCAGTTGAACAAAGGAAAGTGGGGTTGATCTCTGACAATTGTTATATGGGCTAAATTTTAGCACTTTTTGCATCTTGCCAGAGTTGAAACAAATGAAGTGAAGATCTAGTGAAGATCTGACCAACACTTTAAAAGTTTTTACCCTATTCACAGTTGTTCCATACAAGAACAATTTCTAGGACAGTTTCATTTTCAAGCAATTTAATATCTGACATCTGATATTTTTAAAGACGATGTAGTATTTTGCACACAGAACTCCAATTGATGCAATAGAATTTTATACCGAATTATAACCATGAATGTATGCAAGGAGAAATAATCAGAATTGCTCTTTATAAACCACGCAGATACACACGAATAATTGAGCAGAAAACTATTTTTCCAATTGGAAAACAATTGCCACGCTAAACACCAATAGGAAGTCCAGCGGGAAACCGCATACGCGTACCCTGAAAATGACCCCCGAGCCAACCGCTGCGTTTTAGAGCCTATTTATTTCGTTAAAAGCACCGGCTGCAGTCCCAGTAAACCACTCCCGCACCTCCCCTTCTGACGACAATTATAAACTGCAACAGCTACATCTTTGGGCGCCCCCTAAGGGCAAGCAGCAAGTGCGGCGACCTCTGTGCTGGACGTCGATGCAATCCCTTAATCTTGTCTGTTTTTCCTCCCCAACCCTAAGGCTGGCTGGGTACCTTGCAGGCAGAGTATACTCCCAGCTTCTCTAGCTTCTTGGCGCGGGGTGCAGAGCGAAGCTGTGCCTTCTTCCCCGCGATACGAGCCGAGCCGAGCCCCCCGCCGCTGCTGCTACTACTACCACTTCCACTGCCTCCTCCTGCAGGGCTCTCAGCAGTAGCAGCTGCGGCAGCAGCGATAACAGCTCGGGCGGGACCACAAGCAGGCAACCCTCCAGCGGCCGGGGAACCCTGCTGCAGTGCTCCGGCCCCGCCGCCGTTGCCCCCAAGACTTGCTCCTGCTGCCGCTGCAGCGGTAGCTCCAAGCCCGGCCGCACCAGCCTCAGACATGCCGCAGCAGCGCGGGCCGCGGGAGGCTCGGCTCTGTTGTGACCGACGCCAGCCCCTGCTCCGTGCCCGGTTCAGCGCGCCCGTCGAGCGCTCTGGACCCTCCCCTTTCCCCGCTTTGCAGCCGCCGGCTGCTCCCAAGGAGGGAGGGGACAGGCCGCACCGCGGGCGGGTCCTGCTGGGGAAGGGAAGAGAAGGCGGAGGCGAGGCGCCTGTTAAGAAGACAGTAAAGGGAGAAAGACGGACATGTTCTTGCAGCTTGGCGCGGTTGTCCCTCTTGGCGGAAAGATCCCGCTGCAGACATGGCCTCCCTCGCTTAGGTGCCAAAACAGTGGCGCCTCCAACAGCTCTCCCTTAGCAGCATATTCACGGCCAAATAATCTTCGAGAGTCCATTTTTCCGCCCCAGGACGGGCACCGTACTTCTTGGTGCCCTGCGTGCGGTGCCCTGCGTGTGGCGCCCATGCCCAAAGATCGTATTTCGGAGGACGGGGCTATGATGGCAGGGTGGAATGGTTGGGTTGGCGAAAGCCCATCTGCTACAGAATCCAGGATTCTCCAATATGTCAGGAAATTTAAGTCTCCTGGGATCGGGAAGACGAGGACTTTAGATGTGCCGTGACACACCAGCTTATGCTTTAATAAATCTCTGGCACTCTACCTTGTCACAGAAATCGTGAGCGCGGGCGCGCGCACTGATGTTTGCTGCGTAAAGCTACCACTCGGAGGCGAAAGTGAGAAGTTCCCTCCGTACGTGCCACTTCCTCAAAAGGTAGAGAAAGGGGCGATCCTGGCCCACAGCAGACTTAAAGGGCCTCTGGAGCGCTGCACGGAGGCCTTTGAATGATAACAGCTGCCTCGCGCTTGTTTCCACCCTTGGGTGCGCGCCAAGCACTGTAGTGGTGACAGTCAAACATGCGCTCCCGCCTACATAAGTTACCTCGCGGCCTTTCCCTTGCTTCCAAAGAGCACAGAGCAGTCTTTAGGATAAAAGAAAGTTCACGGTTCGCCCATTCCTTCATACATTGATTTCTGAAAAAGTTGTTGGGTTAGAAAGCAAGTTGGCAGACCTATTGAAAGTAAATGCTGAAGAGGCATCTTTCAACTGCCATTGCTACCTTGGCTTGGATTAAAGAAGTTAAACTGGTTAAAACAGCAGGAAGGAAAAAGTAGCTAGCAATGGAAAACCTCTTTACTTCGCCTTCTTCCCTACCAACTTTTTTTAAAACCTCAAGAAAGAGAGATGAGATATATGTTGGAGAAAACCAGCACTCTGGCTAACAAACTTAGCCATTCACTGAAATGATTTGCTGGAGAAGATGGCATTAAGATGAACTAAACTACAGTAACTTGTTCGTTGATTATCTATTTCACGGACTTTTTGCTTCATTATTTTCTATTGCCCCTTTGCCCTACCAGTGATACATATTCTGCCCAGATGATAATCCATGCGGTAATAAACAATTGTTCCATAGTGATTTATCTTAAAACAGTCTTTAAAGGGCTCCAGGACTTTACAATAGTTGAAAACTGATCTAGAGTAAGATGGCCTTTTAAGTCATTTTAGAATAGGAGGGCTGTATGTTTTTTAAATTAGATGTTTAGTTTTACAGGTTCATTTCTGTATGTTTTACATGTTTATTTTACATGTAAACTTCAACAAAGTTTACATTAAAAAAAATCAGGGCCATAGAAAAAATATGTCTCTTATTGTTTACTTAAAGATTTATATACCATATTTTAACATTTCCAAGGCAATTACTTTCAAATACTATCAAACATCTTTTCATGTGAGACCAAAATATTTTGATACTTATCAAATTTCTTTAGGAAAAAATAATCCTAAATGATGGTACAACTTAAAAGCTCTTTTTTGAATTGTTACCTACTTCGTCTCAAATGACAAAAGACAGTTTGCTGCCATAGCAAATATTCCTAAATGTGAATTCCAGCCCTTTCAATTGCATGTTAAGACACTGAGCTACAAATCAGGAGATTGTAATTCTAGTCCTGTTTTAGGAATAAAACCAGCTGGATCACTTTGGGCCAGTCATTCATTCTCAGCCCTTGCAAGAAGAAAGCTAGGGCAAACCAAAAATTTTGCCAACAAAATGTTAGGAATTAGTTCAGGCAGTCAGTAGGAGTTGAGGGTGATTCAAAGGCAACCATTTCAACTCTTGGTGTAATCAGTTCAAAAAGGACCAGTCATAACCTCATGCGCTATGTTATATCTACAGAGGGCTTTGCTGTGATCTAATATAAAATACCTAGTGTGAATACCAATCTTAATCTTACTCATTTCTGCATCTTTTTGCCACCTTTTTTTTTTGAAAGAGGATCAACAAGCTCTAAGTGGCTAATATGGTGCTTAATTTTTCCCCACAATAACTGAGAAAGAGATAGTGTGTGTTCAAGTCCATACTGTATTGACTCCTGGCAAATGCCTGGACAGAAAGTGAGAGGCTCAAATCACTTTGAAAACCATGATTGAACATGGACTTCAACCTTTTTCCAGCCTAAATCCAACACTTAATCAGTACATTTGGCAGTTGTAAGCAGTTTCACATCCCACTAATGGCAATAGATCTTGAAGACTGGTTTAAACTGGATGTAACAGTCTATTAACACAAATACTTCCTTAATAGTGACCAGATTGCTGCAATATGCTGATACTGAAAATCAAGACAAACCAAATTAATGGATGGATTTTATTTCTAAGCTTTCATTTTTTGTGCATTTAGCAGCAGAATCTGTTCATGAAACAATATAGCTTAAGGTACTAGCTAATGATACCTCCATTAAGTTCAAATGTTAAAGCTATTTCTTGATTTTGATTTGTCTAAGAGAAACAAAAATGCAGAAGCCCATAAAACAGGAAGCACCAATTTTACCCTTGCTACATAATACAAATCAGAACAATATCTCAGTGACTAAGGATACCGTTACTATAGTAATAATTGTAAACACTGGACTTAACTACTAGTCCAGTATTAATGTGCAACTATCAGAGAAAGGAATTCCAAAGAACATACGGCTTTCTAGAAGCTTAAGGTACTGATTTACAGATTTTCACTGAGTGAAAAGCATAAATTCAAGAAGGCTATAATTAATCAGAGAGGGGTAAAGACTGAACACCTTGGTTGAAGAAAGCAAACAGGGAAGATTTAACAAAACTAGTCCCATTGGTCAGGCCTCTGCATGCCTAAAGACAATCACACATTACAGTTACAGTGAACAAACAAATCAGAAATAAAGAGTAGATTTTAGTAGGTTTATTTTTAAAAATAATATTTTGCAGTAATATTGAACTACATCACCTTTTATTCTTGGGATATCACAATTGAAATCCAAATCACTTAAAAAGATTTAATTGAGCTTCTAAATATGTATTACATGCACATTATCACAGAGACTTCATATAAGAGGTTGAAACTCTAGCTCATATTGTATAATGGGATTGAATTACATTTTATTTGATGTAGCAACCTTCATTTGATTCTCAACTTGCCTTAAAGTTCAAGGGATGCTTTGGGACAGACACACTGGCTTCTGTACAGAATTTGATGTTCCCCCTGCCACCACATCTGAGCTATAAATTCACATAATTTTCTAACTTCTAAATTTTCTATCTTGTAAAATTCCTATTTTGTAACTATTTTTCCCAGCATTCTGTAGCAAAAACATAAAGAATAAACTAATTTTAGCCAATGTCCACCAAGAAGTTCTAGTGCAATGCATTTTATTTAGTTCTTAAACTGTCACTTCTTAATGCGTTTTAATGTTTTAAATGCTTCTTAAATAACATCAATTCTATTTAATAACACCCATGTTACATCAATATTTTGTTTACTGCCTATTGGGTTTTCATGTTTGTTCCTTATGTTCTCCAGTATGACAGTGTTTAATCAGCTAAGTTAATGGCTTTAAAAATTCTTTAACCAAATTTATTTCTATTAAATTTAAAATATAATTCAAATATTTTGAAAACGACAAAGGGCCAGTGCAATTTAAGCGGCTCCCCATCTTACTTACACAGAATTAAAGTAACGAGTCCTGCAACATATATAATTAAGTATATTTTTTATTCAGAATGTCAACTATGTTCTACTAGGTGCCCCACTCCACAACAATTCATATGATATGCTTTATCTACATGTCAAGCCAAAATTCCATTAAATGAATTGTCCTCTTAACCATAATGAATTTGGTTGATCTTGCTTTAGTGCAATGTATACACTTACTCTTTTTTTAAAAAAAAAACAACAACCCTATAACCTGTTTTTTATAGTTTGTTTAACCTAGTAATTGTGCTTTGTATAGAAAACCATGGACTTTGCATGATATGTAAGTTTAGTCATTCTTTATTGTATAATATTGTATAACATGTGAAATTACCTAAGAGCGCCTTTCTCTAATCAGTCTGAAAAAGAAAACTTAATTATGCTTAATAATCTGGTTCTTAATATTTATGGTAAATCATCCCCCTGTATTCAAAGCTAAAACAATGTATGATGCAAAGCTATTCCTAGTTAACTGAGAGTAATCCCTACTGAATAATTTACTTTTAAATAGACATATATAGGATTACACTGCTGATCATTTCTAACATTGTATTTTAAGATTTAAAGTAAATAATTCTGCTCTGTTTTAAAATCTTATTTTATTAAAAAGTTATGTCTGATATCAATTTTGCTCCACTGATGCAAAATTATTTCTCCCTATTTTTATTTATTTTAATTTTGTAGGAGAGACTATTAACATTATTCTGGAAAGTGATTGCATTAGTATAGAACCAAGCAAACAATAAATTCTATTACACTATGAAAATAGTGGTGCCAACCTTTTTAATTAATGTTTTATTTTCTTTTGAAGTTTTACCTATTTATTTTGTTTTCAATCCAGGGTACTAAATAGTACTTGCGCTAAACAATATTTGACTACATTCTTGGTAATATGACATACTAATAATGGTGCTCTATATTAAGTTTTGAGAACAAAAGTTTGGCTTTTATAGTAACTTTGTTTTATTGCTGACAATCTAGAAAAATAAAATATAATGCTTCGGTTTTCCCATACTAGGAAACAAGGAAAATACTTCCTATGGCTACTGTCTTACATAATCTTCCTTTCTTAAACTGCTATGAGTCAGGAGGTTCGCTATTTTAATCTTTATTAGCACAAACAACAACTAAGTGGCCCAAGGTCAAGATATTAATTATCTATTCTTAAACAAAGTTTTGATGAGATGATTGACATTGCTATCTTCTATATATAATGAAAGCTCCCCTCCCCCCCTCTTTTTTTTTTTTGTTCTAGGACAGTGGATAGGAAATCAGATATTACCACTTAGATTGTCATTGGCACACTCAGCACAACCAAAATTATACTGTGATAATGTACAATATTGTTCAGTAGTAAATAAAGACTTTTTGAAATATAGACAGTGCAACTAATTAACAGTTAGGCTTTTATTTTCTGTCAGAATTTAGTTAATATATTTTTTAGATTTCAGTTTCAAAAATAAAATTCAAATATCATGCTGCCATATTTAATTTAAAATAATTATAAACACTGAAATCCAAAAATACAATAAATTCATAATGGGATTGCCCATGATTTTAATATGAAATACAGGCAGCTATATGTGGATTGTGAATTGTACCTAATGACATAAATCTCCAATTTTTAGATAATTTCTCCATGAAATATGTAAAATTTCAGGATTCAAACTCTGAAAGACTTTTATTCAAGAACTGTGCAGATTAAATTCATAGCACTAAGAATAGTGAACAAAATAATATAAAAGCTTCAAAGGGATTACTGTATTGTAAAGTGAGTAGCTGTGCAGCAAGTTAGCAAATAGGAATTAACCAAAAACACACACAAAAAAGAACCTTCCTAGATTTTGAATATATCCAGCAGTGAGGATAAAATGCTGGGATAACATAAATAATCCATTGAAAATGTCAGATCAGTATGTGGGTAAAAAAAACAAATTCTAATAATTATTAGGTGGAAAAGTGAAAATATAAAACACAGTTTCGTAATACCTTTAGATAAATGCATGATGTGGCTACATCTCAAGTAATTTTTACAGACCTGCTTGTTTTCTCTGAAAGAATAAAACTGAAAATGATGCAGGAAGATTAACCAGTCTAATTACCCATTGCCTAAGGAACTACTTCATAATGTACAGCAAATACATGATAATTCAACTGTAATTATCTTAAATGATAAGGGTTTTGGAAATTTGATTCAATATTTCTAAATAGTTCCTGCTTGAGGAAGACTACTTTAACTGAAGGTTACCACATGATATTGATTGGAAGTTAATTTACGACGAACTTTAATACTAGCAGCAATAATAACAATGTATTACAACAGTTATTTTCTTCACTCAATAATTCATTTGTAGAATTTACAACTGTAGAAACTGAGATATATAAATATGGAGCTTCCAATTCAGCAATTGCCATAACTAATGAAAACCTATAACCACTGCTTAAATAAGAACTGAATATATTTGTATATTTATTTATATAAAAGAAATTTAGAATTTGGAGATAATCCCTCTACCCATGTGTAAACCATATTGGCCATCATTACTAGTAGTAAATGACTTCCTATTTTTGCAAGATGTTTGAAAATAATTTAAGAATAGTTAGGGTATTCTCTTCTTCTCATAAAAGATAAATGCTGCCTCCCCATTCCTCTTTCATTTATATTTAAACACACAAAGACAATGTGAACCAAATTAAGCAGACTAATGGTATCCCAATAACATTTGAAAATAACCATCATAACAAAGAAGACATCTGGTTGTAATCTATAATCTAATTGGAGGTTAGGAACTGAAATAATTTCACCCTATTGTCAAACTTTAAATGGGTAAAAAATCAAATTTGTAGACATGGAGTCAAGTGCTGTTTCATCCAGTCAAGTGAATATAGATTTTGAATGGATTAATATAAGGTCTTGTATTAGCACTATGCTTCAGAATCATTGAGTGTTTGTCAATTTTTGAGAAGACTTCATTTCTAGTACAAGGGTTATCATGCTTTATTTGGATGAGGATAGGAAGAGAGGCAAACCTTCGATATGGACCACATTGATACATCTAAGTTAATATACTGAGAAAACAATAATTTTAGAGGCTATCTTTTATTAAGCAATTTATTGAATATCTGTGATATAGGGGAAAGATGTAAATAGTTCCCTCCTCTTGCTTCCTTACTGAATGTCTATTTTTATTAGGAAGAAAATACTAAAATATTTGTTCAGTTGAGAGAACAATCTGTTTAGATTACAAGATTTTTTTATTAATAGAACAAAATAAAGATATCTTGAATCTTTTGTTACATGGTACTCTTCCACACTTAACTGACTCCAATATTCAAATAAGTAGCATAGCAACAAGAAGATTAGAGGAACATGGGGAATACTAAGGCATTTGACTACATTTGAAAATCTTACAATTTATAATTCACATTTGCTATGATCAATTATATAATTTTATTTATATTAATAATTTTTGCATAAAATAAAAGGCAAATCAAAAGAAAAAAGCTAAGAAAAAGTGCAAGAAAGAAAATTAAATGATAACTTCAATGGAAAAGTTTAAAGAAAACATGAATGATTTCTAACCTTCTTTTGAACAGATAATAACAATATTATCCCTTCTCCCTCATAGTTGTTATAATCCCTTCACTCTCAATTAACTCATAATGTTGTTCCCCATTGGAACCCCAAGTTAACTGGTAGACCCAGTCTTTAGGCTCTTATGACAGGTCAGGAGGGTTGGGCTAACCTCACATCAAGAGGGCAAAAAGTTCCAGAGGGCAGGTGCACCAGCAGAGAAGACACTTCTCCTGGGCCCCATCAGCTGGAATAATCAGGCTGATGCCCATAGCATGCCTCCTCTGCCATTCTGTGAGGTGAGATGGTCCTTCAAGTACTGGACATATGCCATGAAGAGCTTTACAGGTCGTTACCAAACCTTGAATTATACCAGGAAACAGACTGGCAACCAATGCAGCTCTTTGAGCAGTGGTGTTACACATGCCATTCTTTGTGCCCCAAGAACTGCACTGTTACACTCTACACCAGCTGTAGCTTCTGAATGCTCTTCAAGGGTAGTTTCATGCAGTGCGCATTGCAATAGCCCAACCATGAAATGACTAGGTCCTGAACAATTGAACATAGAGATTTCTGATGCAGGAAAAGCAGCAACTGGCACACAACCCAAAATTGTGCAAAGGCCCTCATATCCATGACTGCCACCTGCTCTTCAAGCAAAAAATTGTGAATCCAGAAGAACCCCCAAGTTGTGGAAATTATATATCTGGGGTAGTGCTACACCATCTAGTATCAAAGATGACAGTGCCATATTTCAGGGCCCTGTGCATATAAAGCCATTTGATCTTGCCAGGGTTCAGTCAAAGCCTGTTGTTCCTCATCCAGGACCTCACAACCTCAAGGTATGGCAAACATGACCAATGCTGTTTCTGTCCCATAACTGGGCCTGACTGAAAGGGGTCCAGATAATCTGTTTCATTCAGGACCCTCTGACACTGCCACACCACCACCTACCTTTTTTACAACCTTCCCCTCAAAGGGGAAGTTGGAAACTAGATGAAAGTTGTCCAAGCATGTGGCATCTAGTGATGGTTTTTTAAGGAGGGAGGGGGAAACCAAGGCCTCCTTAAAAGCCTCTGGAAATGTTCCCTCCTCTAGTGATGTATTAATTACTGCCTGAACCCACCTGCCATGCATCATCCTGAAAACTTTCACCCATCTAAGAGAGACAGAATTTAACAGGCAGATGGTGACATCAACAGATTTAGGATCTTGTTCACTTCAACAGAGTCAATAGGGTCAAACGATTCCCAGATAATAAGGTAAGACCTCTCCTAAGGAATCTCATATGACCTACCTCCACACATGGGATTCATTCTTCAGCACATGTCTGTGAAGTTATGCTTTGCAGTATTCAATGACAATTCACTATAAGTAATAAAATAGTAGAAAAGGTTATTCATAATTTTCTTGGAATCCACAATAAATTGCCAAAAGTATACAAAATAGGAGCTGTAATCTAAATGACTGTTTACTTATGAGAAAATAAATGTAGAATTTGGAGGGGTCCCCGGCACCTTTCAATAGTTAATTTCTTCCTGGCTTCATCTATATCACACTTCTTTTAAACTCCTTTATGTTTCAAAACTACTTTTGAGTCTTCTTGGATCAAGACCTATATTTTTTAGATTTGTTTAATAATTATTGTAACACATTTTATTTATTCCCCACTCCACCCCCAGAATGACATACCAAACAGAGCTACAAAATTCTGAAACTAGTGAAGAGGAACAAAAACTACAAAACTCTGAATCCTGCAAAGAGGAACAGGATTTAGCAAAGATGCTTATCATTGATTTTAAAAAAATTGAAAGCTTAAATATTAAAATCCCATGTTCCATTTGTGAAGAAATGGTATACATCAGTCAACTTTTTCATCACAAAAAAGTCCACCAAGCTCAAGCTGTACTAAATTATCAGTGGCCATATGTGGAGCCTATAGATATAAAAAAAATTATCCTTCGGAGAAAGCAACTCATTTTAAGACTGCAAAAAACTGCTCAATATCCTGAACGAGAGATAGAAAAGATTGGTTGTTCCATTGATCTTCTTAAAGAGAGCATCAAAATTGCTCCATACTTTTGCATCGATAATGTTGTTCAAAGTTCGGTGTATATTAAAGATGTAAGCAATCCACTGATTAAAGCCATAGCAATTTGTCAAGATAAAAATGCTGTTTGGCACACAGAAATGGAAGATGTGTTTATTGTACTAGATAATTATGGGCACAAGAGAGATACCTGCTTACTTGGACTCTTTGATGGAAATAATGGAATTTCTGCTGCTCAGTTAACTTCAGATGAACTTCCTCTTTTACTTCTTGACCAGCTTTCTCATAATGATTCCTCCTATCAGATTAGCGATGCTGAAAAAAACATACTTCATTCTTTTTGCACTATTTTTAAAGAAGACTATGAATTAAAGGAGCAAGTATTTTCTGTTGCAGAAGCCAGAAGCCAAAACTCACAACCAAATAAGTATGAATGGATTCATAGAGCATTTGCAAAAGCTTTCTGGAGAATGGATAGGCTTTTACGTCTTGGACGAGGTGAAGTTTCCAAAGTTCGTTGGAGTAGCTGTACAACTGCCATATGTTTAGTAGAAATGGCAGGCAACATAAAACAAAACCAAGAAGAACAAGAAGGGGAAGAAACAGTTGAAACAATAAATGATAACGAAGAGCAGAACTTCCTGCAACATGAGAAGGGGCTGCCTGAACCAAACAGAATAATGATAAGAAGAATCATAGAACAAGAAGAACACAAAATTATGGAACAGCAGGAAGAGAAGTCACTTGGAAGAGTAAGTGATGGAGAAGACCAAAATAACACAGAGCAAGGGGCAGGTTCTCTCACAGAACATCCTCGAGAAGTATTTACAAGTATAAATGATGGAATTAAAAAAAGCATCATAGTGTCAGAAGATAATGAGCAATTGGCAAAGAATAAAGATGAGATCCAGGAAGAAGTTTGGATTGAAAACAAAGAAAATTCAGATGAAATTGCTGGAATGATGCATATTGCTAACATTGGTATGTATTAAGTCATAAAATTCAGAATATTATGTTTCCCTCCCACTCTCCCATTTTGTTTCTCTGGTCACAACTGTTAGCCATTGAGCTCCAGAATTATTCTAGGAATAAATCTAGAATAGTCATTTATTGAATTGATTGTGCAATCCTGATTTTTTTCAGCAGAATTTTCCTAATTATGATATTTTATAATCTATAAATCCTTCTAAATATTTTGTTAATTCAGTTCAATTATATGACAACTAACTCTGGTTAGTATGTTAATTTATCCAAGCAAAGCATAACTTGAATTATAACTGATCCTAATTAAATTGCACAGTACCATTTATTCTATGTTCAAAATTAGGTTGGCGCTGACCAGTCCCCAAAGTTATGGCTGTTGCAGCACACTATGATCACATGACAAAAATTTAACTGCATGGCAGTCCACTTGTACCACAAGCCCTTCAACTCCCCCCACCTGTCTAGCTCCCTCATCTGTGTTCTTTTGGTCCACTATCCGTGACTCCTATTGCCCTAGCTGACCTTTGCCATTTTCTTGCTTCCAATGCTGACCAAGCATGTGCAGCCTGGCACATCACGACAACTACTAGCCACATGAGATGTTCGTCCCAAAGTTGCATGTGGCAGTTTCTTTGTGAGACCCAGAGAAGATGGCTTCATTTGCCAACAGCTGCCTTGTGGCTTTTGTCAGCAGCAGGAACAGGTGGCAAAGGTCAGATGAACACAGGGAGGTGGGGCCCACACAGAGCATGTGATGAGGGTTATTGTGGCTAGAACTAGTTCAGGTTTCCTGGAGTGCTGCATCTTTGGGGCTTCTGGTAACCCTAGAGCTATGGTATGCCAAGAAGCCCTTGACCAACCAAGTGGCAAGCAGCACCAGAACCATGTGGTTGTGGGATTGCTTGCTGACCAAGGCTCGCCAAAAGGACAGAGATTGGGGGCAAAGTAGATGGTGGGGGGGGTTTGAAGAGGAAGCAGTCCTTTACAATACCAGGGCTTGGGAGGAACCAGGTTTGAAATGGTTTGAATTGGTATGGGTTCCCAACTAATTAATCAAATTCAGCTAGTAACAGCAACAGGATATGCCAGACTGCCATTGCTAGGTGAGTACATTTTTTAGCGATAGAAATTCAAATCCCAATTGTGGTTTTAAGTAGAGGACTACGTGTAACAAATCATATTGCTTTCACTCCACTGGAGTGTTTTAGCAAAGGTATTTTTGGAAAATTGAGCTATAGTACAAATATCTTCTTAAAAATGGAAGTAGAATCCTACCATATGTAGCTAGGAAAAAGGCTGTCCAGGATATAGACAGGATGTTAAGCAGTAAAACTTGGGAAAGTGTAAATAAAGATTTGAACTTGAATGTTAATGTAGGCAAATATTTGATAGGAAAGGCCTTCATTGCAAGATCTAATTGAAGTATTAACCAGAAATTTCTCATCTTGCTTACTTGGGTTATTGACCTGGTGGCCTGCCACCAAGTCATTGGATTACAGTGGGGTATAAATGTTAATGAATTAATAAATACTATGTAATAATAAAAACCTTTTAAAAATGGGGATATAATTGATCCTACCCATTAGGTTCTGAGAATACTTTGTTGAAAAATTGCTGTTTTTAAGCCCCTGGAACACATTGGACTTTGAATATTTTTTATTATCTTACCATATTAAGCACCAGCAAAGTTTTCAATAAGAATTTCTAAACATTTCTTACAGGAGCCTTTCTGTGCCCAGAATAATTGTTTTTAGATTGTTTGGGTTCTGAATGTTTTGGTTTGTACATAGAACCAAAACAGCTACTCCCAGAAGTGTTTTGCAGCTGGAATGAGTAAAAAAAAAAAAAAGATAGCACCAAAGAAGAAACACTGAAAAAATCAGAAAGTGGGGGGACTGGAATAAATCATGCTAAGATTTATCCTATTCTTTATGTCATAGTGAATAATGGGTGCATGGGTCACTACAAGGGAGCTGGGAAAATCAGGTAGGTAGGCAGGCAAGCAGGCTGGTGGGATATACTGAACTGCGAATTGTTGAAGAAAAATAAGTGATGAAGGAAAAAGGTGGTAGACATCAGCCGTGTCATGCCCATCTTGTAAAATCACTTTGGGATTCCTTGAAATTGTATTTTGATCAAAGCCTAGGACAACAATACACTTTAGATTTTATTTCTTCTGAATCACTGCTGAACTTAAATGGTTCAATAGAACCTCTGGAATGCACATTGTTCTGGATTCAAAATATGTTTATGCAGAGTTTGGTTATTTGAGGCAAAGTACTATTTGAGAGAGAGAAACTCTAGTTAGATAAGCATTATGTGGCATTATTGGCAACAGATTAATGCATGCTCATCCTACCCAAAAGGTGCTGTTTCAGAGCAGATAATTTCATAGCACACCGTAACCTTAGCAGCCATACTAAAGAAGTCAAGGTTTCCACATCTAGATACGAACAATTGTTAGTAAACTGCTGAGAGTTTGGAAGTTGCAGTTCCAAAATATCTCACAGACCTCAATCTGTCAGGCTTGTTGTGATATCAGTGTTTGTCAAACTTGGCAACTTTTAAGACATGTGGATTTCAACTACCACCTGGAATTTTGGGAGCTACATGATTTAAAGTTGCCAAGTTGGCAATTTTACACTTTCTTTACACAACTGGGAACACTTTCTTCCCAAATGCTCTCTGGCCTTTAAAAAGTATCAACAGAGCATTAATCAGGCTTATGATTTTTTTTAAATGTAGATTTATTGTACTGTTAGCCATCAGTTTTATGTAGCTTTACATTTATACACCTCAGGGATTTGCTGAAGCATATTGATACTTCACTCTCTTATTAGTGGCCCTATTTTTGTTTAAGTCCTGTTGGGAAACCACATTTCCTCAAATGAACAAAGAAACTTTGAAAAGTGGAAACTTTTAGAAAACATTTTAAATGGTTTCTAAAAATCAGAATTTGACTAGGAACAATGAAAGTTCCTGTACAAGATATGCACCCAAATACACACAAGGTTAGTGTTATATACTGTATTCAGATTGTTACACATCTATACTGCTATGTTGAAAATTAGGCCTTATCAGAAATATGGAAAAGCATAATCTGTGCTAACACAGCACAAACAATACTTGTACCTAAAATCTGATTATATATTGTCTTCAAAATTATATGATTTTTTTTTAAATTTAGGTAATGTTCATGCAGTTTTATGTAAAAATGGAAAGAGTTATTGGCTTACTAAAGAACACTCCACATACTGTAAAGAGGAAAGGAGACGCATTCTTCAGAATGGTGGATCTATCAGCAGTAATGAGCCTAAAGGACTAATAGAAGGACTAATAAAAAATACTCGTGGCTTTGGCCATCATGGAAACCCAAAGATAAAGAAAACAGTTATTCCTGTACCAAATACAATCTCTTTCTCTTTTGATAACTCATGTCAGTTTTTTATTATAGCAACTAATGGACTTTGGGAAGTTTTGGATAAAAATGAAGTTGTGTTATTAACAATAACTTTGTTTTCTGCTTACTTGGCAAAATATCAACATGCCCAATTGATGAAACGTTACACTCCCCAAACGTCAAAGTTATCTTTGGAAGATCAATTCTATTCATGGTATATGGATTCTGATTTATTTTCTGAATCGGATTTAGGCAACGAAGAGGAAACTGAACCAAGTTTTCAGTTAAAGCTTCCAATTAACAATAGCACAGAAGAAAAAGTAGTTCTGTCAAACAGTTGTACTATTTCTACAAAGCAACTCTCAGAAAATTCTTTAGAAACATCAGCTAATGTTCCTACATCTTCAAAACAAAATACTTCACCAGACACTAAAGTAATCCAAAAAGAAAATAAGAAAAATTCAGAAGACCTGATATCTGAAAATAATGAATTTTTACAGATATCTGAAGATTCAGAAACAGATTCTAGAACATTTTACAATCTTGCAGCAAAGTATATTACTAAGCACTTGGTAAAAGCTGCTCTTAAAGCAGGTTCTAGAAATAATGTTTCTGTACTGCTAGCTCTCTTAAATGGATGTGATAACATACCCACTGATGTGTTAATGGGAAAAACAGAGTAAGAAACACTGACATAATGCATAAAAAAATAAACACTTGTTTAAAAAGAACGATTACTATGTTGCTTAAAAAGAATGATTACCAGATTTCCTTTTATACCACTTTATTCAAACCTGAGCACCTCAATATAAAACTAAACACTGGTGAACTGTCATTTTTCTTGCTAAGCCCAAATTATTGCAAATTTACATCTGCACATGTAAGTTTTTGCTAGCAGTTCAACGTTTAAATAGATTAAATCATCTTTTCGGACACGTGGTAGATTTCATATAATGAAAATAACTAAAGAATTAGTGCAATATACTGGATAAATCAAAATAAAATGGACTTTGGGAAACAATGTAGCAGAATTCATTACAGATAGACAGTTGTATTTATGTTACAGGTACAGGAGCATCTTTTATTATTGTTCTACCCATGAAGGAAGAACTTAATCCCCCTTGTGATCTGGGGAAAACAAAATGTTAGCTCTTTTAAGTAACTGTACATATTGTATACTTTTAAGCAATTCTTAAATAGTACAGAGTAAAACAGATGTAGACTACAATGCAGTACCCTATTTACAGTACATTGACATACCAATTTAAAATCAAGTTGAATGTACATAATTTTTAGTGCTCTGACCAGTTACATTCTTAGGGAAAAGGTAATTGTATTAATGGTCAACACTGATTAAAATCAAAATCAGCTACCTAGTTTTTGTAAAATATGTCTCAATAGTTTGTTAAGAAATATGTTGTGTTGCATCAGAAGTTGAATTCATTGGTTGTGACATTTTAAAAGCAGAAAAAATGTGTGAAGCTTGATTTTTTAAAAAAATTTAAACTGTGTTTTGACAAATTTATATATAGTGTAATAAAACTAAAAGAAAACCAATTGTTCTGCAAGCTCAGGATCAATAAAATTGTTAATGTTTCACATATTTTACTTAAATTATGAAACTGTGGAATGTATATTTACATGGTAATTACCCACATAAACATTTTGCATAAATACTGTTAATAAGCTTACAGGAAGTTCAGAAGGTATATTAACCTTTTTTTTTTTTTTTTTTTGCAAAATCACAAATGGAGAATCCAAATTCTATTCATTACACTTTAACAGTAACCAATATCCAACACTTGAGGACCTAACTGGTTAGCTGCAGATCCATGGAACAGTTCAATCTCTATTCCTAATGATATGTAATCCAGTTAAAAACCTCTTAACTGAAGCAGGTTTAGCCAGCTTCTTTCCCCACCCCACCCCATTGTTAAAACATAACAGCCAGTGATACATGCATGTTATTAAAAATTAGGACAAAATCATTCTGTATTATTAGAAACAACTATTCCATAAGTCTCTTCAGTTTTGGAAGCTGTATTGGGCCAGGTTAAATACTCCAAATTCCATTGTTATTAAGAAGTTAGGAAGTGGAAGAATATTCAAGACAGTTTAAAGCAGCTGAAAGTTTAGTTGCTACAACATTGACTCTTAGTTGGTTGTGTTGGTTCAGTAAGATCTACTCCTCCTCTTCCTCTACCAGAGTTAGCTCCTGTATTCTGTGGTTCATTCTTCGGCAACTTTTTAGCTATAAAAATATAGCAAAATTAGAATATTTTTTTAAAAAATAAGCATTAGCTGTGTATATTTATAGCTAACAGCACTATACAGCATAGTTAATATTTTTTTATTCTGATTAACCTTCCACAAAAATTGATGAAGTTCATCACATCCTTACAGTGTTTCTGGAATATGCTTGTTTTAACTTGGCTCTATCAGCAGCCGACTGCAATAACTCTGCCATATATTTCACACTAGATGTACTTTTTTGGCAGCATACATGAATTTCTTTTTCATAAGATCCAAAAGATTATGGAGCTACTTCAATATGGCTTGTCTGTGTATAGCTAAACTTGCCCATTATGGTTCACCGTGACTTGTTCTAAAAAGTATGTTGAAAAAAAAACTATGGCTTATCACAAAGTGTTCAATAAGTCAATTTTTCTATATAAATTGTTGAGATCCCTGGAAATAGAAATGCTGCAAAACTGGACAATAAATTTATAGAGTTTCATGGGAATAAAATAATAAATTTTGCTTGGTTTACATCTTATTCAAATTTATTTTTCTGCTTAATAAATTTTTTAATATGCAGGATTACTTTTAGTTCTAATTTTTTTTCTAACCTTAATAATATAGTATAGTATTCCAAGCAAAATGTAAAAAGCAGCTCAGTGCCAAAGGACAAATTTAAATATAGTCCTCAACTTACGGTCACAACTGAGCCACAAAATTTCTATTATTGAGTTAAGGGAGTTTTGTCTCATTTTACAATGTTTCTTGCTATAGCTGTTAAGTGAATCACTGCAGTTGTTAAGTTAGTAACATGGTTGTTAAGTGAATTTGGCCTCTCCACTGACTTTGCTTGTTAGAAAGTTGCAAAAGGCAATCACATGACCCCAGAATATGCCAAGCATCTGAATTTTGATCACATGTCCTTGGGGATGTTGCTATAGTCATAAGTGTGAAAAATGGTCACAAGTTACTTTTTTTCAGTGCCATTGTAACTGAAGGATCCCTAAACAGTTGTACATTGAGGACTAACTTACACTTTACTTTCACGAAGGAAATCACTTTGCAAACAAATTGGAAATATAAATGCTTTCTAATGGGACTTTACTTACTTAAAAGAATAAAAGAAAATGTCAACATAATATGGTATAGCGCCAATCAACTGAATAAAATAAACTCTGGAATGAGCTGAATTTGACACAATCAAATAATCTAACACATATTCTCAGATATTGAAATTAAATATAACTTTGAATTTGAGTTTAGTTTTAATGAAACTGGTTCATCTCAATATGCATAATGAATACAATATGTCAAATTAAAGCTTTACTTTAAACCAATATACAAATAAGCATGGATTCCATTCCACATGTACAGCAGCTTTCAGATCACACTTATTTAATAGGTTTAGTAATTATGGGCTTCTTCCGATAAAACCAAATTTTCCTTAACCAATCATGATCTACAGGGCCATAAACTGCCCATGAAATAAAAGTGCTTTGTTAAAAATAAATCAAGTTATTTGTTCAAAGTGAACATTATCTTTGCTAATCTACTTTTTATTTAAATATTCTGCATTCCATCAGTACTTTTGACTTTATCAATTTGTAAAGAGCTGCAAATTATATAAAATTGCTGTGTATTTTATGATTTAAAAATGTCAAAATTACTATCAAGCAGCAATCAGAGGCCAGGCTGTCCATTTGCCACTGTAGTTCCATCATTTTGATGACTGCTCTCCCTTAAAGTGTCACAAAAATATTTTTAAACTGTAACTTTAAATAAGAGTTCACTTACCAATTGCCATGAATATTTCATTTACATTCACTGATGTTTTAGCTGAGGTCTCCATAAACAATAAACTGTTGTCATCTGCATAAGACTGTGCTTCCTGTAAATTTAAAATGTCCATTATTTTTCTTGCTGTAATTCTGTATTATACAAAATATCTATTGTCTGCAGTTAGAATTGTGTTTTAAAGATAAAATTTTGACTTGACTAGTTTAATCAGATCAATGCTTTCAGCAAAAATTAGTAATTTTAAAGATTTGCAGTGACACCTACACAAATGAACAAAAATGCAACTGGATGAAGTAGAAATGAAGTATGAAACTGCTGAATTATTTCAAAGCTAAAATCTGAAAGTTTGGTGATTAAAGGATAAAGAAAATTAATTCTAATTTTAATACTATACTTATTAGAAAACAAAAAGGCTAACAAGGGAAATTGTTAGAAGTTATACACATAATTATAGCCCTGCCTATATAGAATTTATTTACAGTTAATTTTAAAAAAAAATGAATTAAATTTAAAAAATATTAATTAATTAAAAAAATATTGAAGAAGGGAATAACAAACCATTTCTGAACTGTTGACAAGTTACTTGAAATCAAGTTCAACTCAAACTGTTGTTTATCTTTGCACGTAGGTTGGGAACTTATCTTTAAATCTTCAATGCACTTTACATGTATTTGGGTTTGTGCTTGTTACATGCAGTGATAAACACAAAGGTAAAGGTTCCCCTCGCACATATGTGCTAGTCATTTCCAGTTCTAGGTGGCAGTGCTCATTTCCGTTACAAAGCCGAAGAGCCAGCGCTGTTCGAAGATGTCTTTGTGGTCATGTGGGCGGCATGACTAAACACCGAAGGCGCACAGAACGATATTACCTTCCCACCAAAGTGGTCCCTATTTTTCTATTTGCATTTTTTACATGCTTTTGAACTGCTAGGTTGGCAGAAGCTAGGACAAGTAACGGGAGCTCACTCCATTACGCGGTGCTAGGGATTCGAACAGCCAAACTGCCAATCTTTCTGATTAAAGCTCAGCGTCTTAGCTACTGAGTCACCACGTCCTCTTGTTATGTTATTTAACGTAAGATATATTAAATTTAGCATCAGTATGTTTATCAGTATGATAAATATACTGATGCTAAATTTAACATATCTTCCAGAACTACCCTATTTCATAGGAATTTCTGCAAACAGTCATGTTTCTGATTTATGGGATACCAAGTAAGATTCAGAAAAGCAACAAATAACAGTCTCCAAATAAGTAGAAATTTCTATTACGATACAGTAAATATCAAGCAGCTGTGATTTCTACAATTTAATGCTTGGAAATACTGTATTAATGTAGTTGAACCTCTGATGACAACTGAAAACCAAGAAAATGTAGACAATATTATAAATCTGTGATATGCTCATATTAGCATTTTTATGTGTTAACTTCTTGTTGATAATTCTCTTGGAAGTAAGTTATTCATACTTACTTTAAAGGTAGTGAAATATTAATACTGGACTTGAAGAATAGGTGTGCTTTGTTAAAACTCTGACAAGCACATGGAAGTACTTCTATTTTTTTTTTTTTTTCAATTCAAATACCCAAAGAGTTGCATTATTAATTGGCCTCAAAATTCCTGACAGGTCCTACTTTTATCCATAATTATCACCAATTAAAATCCGCCTGTCTGTTAAAGTATGCATAATTTTTGCATTTCATCTTGTTACAAATCTGTTAGTTTAAAAATTGGCCAAAATCATGAACCCCAAGACTGTATGAAAATCGGTGCTTCCATAGTCCAAATGTAGTATTTTATTTATTCAAACATATTAACTAACACGTGTTAGGCAAATACACGCAGTGTATACCTGGGCTTCTGAATATCACAGCATCTAAGACTGCATTTATTTTTATTTTTTTTAGAATGATGTAGTGGCAATATTTGTCCTCTTGCATTTTCATGCTTCCAAACTTCTAGGTTGGCAGAAGTTAAAACAAGAACAGGAGCTTACTCCATCATGTAACACTTGGGTCTTGAAACTGGGCTATCGGCTTTTGAGTCAACAAGCCCAGCTTCTTAACTGCTGGCCATATGACCATGGAAATGTCTTTGGACAGCACTGACTCAATGGCCCTTGAAATGGAGATAAGCACTATCCCCTGTAATTGACAACAACTAGCAGATTAAAATCCTTTACTATTGATAATAAAGATAGTAAAGATCCTTTATTAGTAGTAGTATAACATGAGTTATGCTTTTTAATTTCATCAGGCAGTTCTGTACACAATTAAAATTATTGTAATAAATGTTTATGTTGCTTAAGAAGGAGGGAGAACTGGTAGTTCTTTATGAACTCTGTTGGTATAAATACAGTAGTACTCGGTACTCAATTGGTTCTGGGAGGCATGACGATATTAAAAACAAGTGCCAAACGAACAAGGTGACTTTCCATGTGACCCTTTGTTTTGGCCAGGAAAAACTTTCTGTCTTTTTTCCTATGCCAGTGACCTTTCCATCATGGCTGACTTCC